GATGATCTTAGAGATCTCTTCCAACCTCAATGATTCCATGACTCTAGTCAAGTTCTGGAAGGAAGGTTCCCCCGAGCCCCGCGGGGTGCCCGGGGCAGAGGAGAGCAGCTCACTTGACGGGGGCCCTGGCGTAGACCTGCAGCCAGTCGGGGATGTCGGCGGTGTGGTAGGGGTTGGCAGGCACCAGGAGGGGCTGGCTCCTCTCGGCGGGCTGGGGCTGGTAGCTCACGGGGGGAGGCTGGTCGTAGCGGGGCACGCTGTGCAAAACAGACAGACAGGGGCCGTCACCTCCATGCAGCAAGCCCAGGCACACCCATCTCAGCAGCAGCTGCACAGAGCAGGCCCTGCTGCTGCTCCTGGGCCTCTCTCCAGTCACAGTGGAGGTGTTGCTGCTGCTGTCAGCACGCTGCACGACTCACCTCAGAGCTGCTCACCCAGAGCCTGCCGCCCGGATGCTGCAGCAGAACAAGAACTCATGCCCCTTTTTCCAGCATTAACAGGGCAAGTGTTGGGTCAGCCCAATAATCCACCTTTTACTGTGTTAGAACAAATGCCTTCAGGCAGCAGCTGCTGAGGGTTATTCCATTTATAATAAAGGACATCCTCCTGTGTTTATCTGTTGTACCACACATTAAAAAAACTTTCTCTTCCTAGCTAACAACAAAACTGACTAACAGAAATTAACTCTTGGATTTGGTGGATACCAACTTTACTGCCCTTAATACCTTTTTATTTATACTACCTTTAAGCTATGAGTATTATTTTACCTTAAATTTTTGAGTCTTATTTTCATTCTGGACAAGGCTTAGCTCACGTTCCAGATGGTACGTGCTATTTGTCCAGACAGGCTCCTGGAACATCAGATCAAGTTTCTTCTCAGTCTAGAATTCAGTTCTGTCCTCAGCAAGCTTGCTGGTGCACTGACAGTTGGAGAGAATAGCTGCTTTGTTTTAGTGAGTTACCAACGATATCCTGCTTCCAAACTTAAGACAGCAACAGATGAGACAAAACCCCAACACTTACAACTGCTTCTAAAAGTCTTAGTCCAGAGCCCGTAAAGCTTACTTCCAAAACCAAGATGGTTTTGGCACTTTACACAGGAGACAAAACCAGTTCCACCTTCTCAGCTGGGCTAACCAAAACCCCAGAGAGCGAGGCGAAGGCAGAGGTCCTACCTGGGAGCACAGGGGTGTTTGTACTGAGCTCTCTTGTTGATGTGATCCACGTAGTAGACGCCGAACTCGGGGGACTCGACGCGCTCCCAGCCCGGGGGGAGCCCCTCGCGCTCCAGGGGGTGGCTCCAGTGGGTGGTGTTCGTGTTGTGGTCTATGTAGTACTTCCTGCCCCTGATAGTCCAGTCCACTGACCAGCCAGGAGGAAGGGGTAAATCTTCACAACTATGATTGGTTAGGTTTCCTAGAGATGTAGCAGCAACTCGACCGATGCCTAAAAAGAAAAGCAAGCAGTTTTTAACCAAACTGCCAACACTCAAACCCAACATCAGGGATGAAGTCAGCTCTCCCCCCTCCAAAGGAACAGTATGGGCTCTGAACAACACCAGTGTTTACAGTGTATGCACTTGTAAGCAAGCACCATCAGCTCACAAAAAATCTGTTCCCTTCTCAGCCTCACTTGTTTCACTCTCCTCCAACCCCAGACTCACAAGACAGCTTCACTCAGCTAAGCAGCCTTGCTGTTCCATTAAACACCACCTATCAGCATATGTCTGGGCTGAGGTTCAACAGGGCCAAGGGCCGGGTCCTGCCCCTGGGTCACAACACCCTGCAGAGCTCCAGGCTGGGGGCAGAGGGGATGGAAACTGCCCAGAGGAAAAGGACCTGGGGGTGCTGGTGGCCAGCTGGCTGGAGATGAGCCAGAGTGTGCCCAGGTGGCCAAGAAGGCCACCAGCCGC